TGGCTCCACCAGAGCCCCTGGGACAGGCCCAGCGTGGAGACCTGGGCTGGGCAGGGCTCACTTGGCTTATTTAAAGAGCAAAACATTTCAAATGACCAGCCGCTCCTTTCTCCATCCCCCAAACGGGAGGACAGCAAAATCACTCGTTAGCTTTTTGCAAAGTGGCTTTTCAAACCCAGGAGGAGGAGAGGAGCTTTCCCTCAACCTCGCTTGTCTTCAGGATGGAAAACGCACAAAACCTGGGCAGGAAAACTGTCCTCCCTCTCCCTGCCCAGCTCACCCCAAACAGCAGGACAGCCCAGCTCCTCCCTCCTCTCCACCAAGCCCCTCATCATTCCCACTGCTCCTTCCCATTGCACATCAAACATCTGTGCTCTGACCTGCAGGTTTCTGAAACAACTCTCTGCCTCAATGCTGTCCTTACCCTCCTCCTGGTTTCCCATCCATTCACCCTGTTTTCTCAGGCTTTCAATCTCCCTCGTTTACTCTCATCTCTGGGTGAGCAGAATTCCATAATGCAGATGGGCACCTGCCTCCTAATTAAGCAGCAACTAGACTCTGTCTCTAACGACTACTGCAGAGCCACCTCAGCTGTGACAGAGTCCCAAATTTCCTTTTTACTCTGATTCATTCTAGACTTTATCAGCTTCTGCTTTTCATTTTTGCAGTTCTCCCAGTTTTCTGATGTGCAGTTTTCCTAAAGCCTTACACAAGGTGGTGTAAAAGCAGCCCCAGAGACAGACAGGAGGGTGAGCCTACTGCCTGCGAGAGAAAGGGCATGGAATAAATGAGAACATAAAATTTTGTGTGCTGAAGTGAGAGACTGCACCTCTCCAGTCAGCTCCAGGCGAATTCACCTCAGAACTGCTGTGGCATGAACTGCAGAGCCAAGCCAGGCTGCAGTCCCAGGGTGATGGGAAGAAATGGGAACAGTATATCAAGTGAATTCGCAAGTAAAAAGGGCTCAGGCACTGGGAGTCCTGTTCTAGTTGTAGGTGCACATCATAAACCAGCAGCACCACCAGTGTGGTCCCCTGGAACAGCCTGGAGGACAACCACTGAGGACCTGGGCTGAGAGTCAGGCTCAAAGCATCCTCGGAAAACTAGGCTGGGCAGCATCTCTCCGTGCTGGAGGAGTCTCTGTGCCTTTCCCTCTTCCAACACAGACACTAAGAAATGCAAATTCCAAAATCCAAAGAGAAAATACAGACCCAGTGAGGATGGAAAGCCAGGCAGCTGATGGCTCCAACTCTTTGTCCCATAAAACCATCGTAGTATTTGATATTGTTGATCAGCTCCCCATTCCCATTGTAGATTGCAGTGAACTGGTTCATTGAGCCACTGGAAAGGAACCGAGAGAACATGGTGTCACGTGAAGAGCTGGTGCACTCATGCACTGAGAGCAGATCCCTCAGCAACCTCCAGGACACATGGCTGTGGAGCAGTTGCTGGTCCCTGCTCAGAGTCCCAAAACACAGATAGTGTCTTTGAACAGGGATCTGACATGGGAGGGTAAGTCCATACACCATCACTAAGTCACTGGTGTTGAGGTTCCATTAATGCATGCAAGGGATAAAACTCTTGAGCTGCAAACATGGGAAAGAAGCTCCACTGCTCGTGGTGAGGTCAAAACAAACAACAAAACCCCATGAATGATGTCTGCAGAGACAAACTGGCCTCTCCATCCACTCCAGGGATGCAGGTGATGAAACTAGAACTTACCACGCAAAGAGGTTGGCTTGCGGGTGAATGTCAAGGGCTGTCAGCCCTTTGACTATCTGAAGGACCTTCATGGACTCTGGCATCCGGGGGTCAAAGAACCGCACGTCTCCGTTCACACTGCCAACACAAGAGTGGCACCACGTCAGGCTGTCCCCAAACCAGATCCTAAAGCCCAGGAAATGGAGCCATACGCCTGTCTGAGAGCTGAGCACCTCGATACGAAAATTAGGATAGAGAAGACACACACCCTTGCCTTCTCTGTCAATGCAGCTGAATCCCCACTGCTGTCACTTAGCTTGGTCACATCCACAGAGCATTAATGCTGCACCACCAGCTCTGCCTCTGCCCCCCAGTGATCCATTACTCCTTTTATCGCTTACAGCTCATCGCTGAGTACAAGCGCCTTCACGCTGAATAACCCAAGCTGCACGTCAGACCCAAATTCTGTCTTTTCACAGTAGGAAATTGTATTAGAAAACTCTAACCAGATGGGATCTGCTGGTACCATCCATGATGACAAATGTCTGGACACAGATGCACAAGTCTTTGCTGTCCAAAGTGCTCTGTGGACCAGGTGTAACAAACCCTGCAAACGCTTCCCTGACTTGAGTCTGTCAGGGAAGAGAAGGTGGGGAAAGCAAGATACTGTGCTTAGTAGATCAAGCACCTTCCAAACACAAATGATTTCTTGTTGTTAAGTGACGTCTCTGCAATACACCAGCAGAATCACATCTGTGAGATGTGAAGAGGGTCCATCTTTTCCTAGCTGCCCTGGTACTGAGGATTTTGCTATTGTACATCCGTTCCTCTGAGGGCCTTGTAAGAGACTGGCTGACTGGTGTGCAGAGAGACAAACAGAAAAGTCTCTTACAGAAACTAAATTCAAAATCAACTCATCCAATCCTACTCTGTTGGCACAAGTGGGGCTTCTGGCACCACAACTTTTCACGTGGTGTTTTTTCCAAGTCACCGGTGGTCGCACGACTGCAAATCACTCTACAGAGTTAAGAAGACGAAAGCATTAAGCAGCATATTGCCTTCAGTTTCTTTACCTCTGGAGTATCTAATACTGATCAAAAGGCTGTTTTACAGGATTACTTGTATCATTATAAGAAGCTGCAACTCCAGCTGTCACATAATTAAATTCAAGACAAATTAAACTTGAGGTTGATTTAGATCCTAAAGACTAGATGGAAATACTGTTTGAGAGAGATCCAATATACAGTGAGTTCATTTAAAGCTTTGAACCTTAATAAGACTTGAAAATGGTCGTGAATGGATTGGAAGACGATGCAAGAGCTTTAAAATGGAAGTGAATTTCTGTGCTGAGGAGCTACGTGGGAAAATACATCCCAGCTGAACAGTAACAGGCAACAAGAAGCCAACAACAGCTAAGCTACTAAACCAGGATGTTCAGAAGGTGGTTAAGGACCTTTTCTAGCAACGCTGTCAGGCTGATAAAAGCAGACCCAGTGGTTAATTAGAAGCCCTGTGGCAGCACCAGCACGTAGATCAAAGCGGCTGAACGCAACATCACGTGGTGAAGCAGCGCTGGGCGATGCAGAGCCGCAGGATCCAGGTCGGTCATCAGGCCTGTCTCACAAGCTCCTGCCTCTGGTCCAGAGAAAAAGCTTCTCTGAGGTTCAGAGAACTGCTCCACAGGCAACACAGAGCCTTAGGATTTTTCAGGAAGTAGTTAGACCCAAGACCTCACTACGTCCTCGCATTTGTTTTTCTTGGACCTTGCTGTCAAAGGAAGAACATCAACTGAGAGCAACGTGGCTTGTCTCAACAAGTGAGTTCCTGTGGGATGAGACCAGACCTGACTTTTGAATTACAATGTTTTCTCACAGCTCTTCAATCCCGAGAGAAAGCACCACGTGCTGAGAAGGGCACTGAGGAGAGGGAAAAAAACCCGAGCCTTCAGACCCAGGCTGGCCAAGCATACAGGCCTGACCCCTGGGACTGCTGAAGGAGATTACAGAAAGGAAGATTAAAAACTCTAATATGTGAGCTCAACAAATCTGGCAACTGCATCACGTAATCCCCTTTCTGAAAATCTTAATACATTTTTGCTGGCACATCCCCCACCTCAGGAATGTTCTGAATCCCAGAAAATTGTGTTTTGTTTTCATTTTGTAATCAAGAAAAAGAGCCTCTTTGCGTGCAAACAGTGGCTTTGTAACAATAAATTATATTCTGCTGTTCTTTAATGGCCAAATAAGTATATGCTGCTCTCTCCGCAGTATTTACCAGGCAGCAGAAATGGATTTATGTGTAGAAAATTGCTAGACAGCAAAGTAATCCTGCACAGCAATATGCCCAACAGATGCAACATCAACCTTCCTTCTCGTGTTCTCTCTCAAATGACCCCACAGAGATGCTGGCAATCAAGAACAACCACCAGAAGATATACTATATCTGGCTTCGCTTTCTGCTCCGCTCGATTCCTCCCTCACACGCCTCGTGACAGTGATTTCAGCAGCCGCCTTCTTGTTTACTCTCAAACCTCGCTAACAGGCTTCCAAGGGAAGCTTCACATTTCTTTTTGCCTTCTCTCCACCGAGTTTGGAGCAGGAGTTAATGACTGAAGCAAATATCAAACTAAAGAGCTTTACCCTCTTAGCTCTTAAAATACCAGAGGCAGATTTTTAAACAGAAAAGCAAACTGCTTTTAAGAGAAAACAGCTCAAACAGTAACATCCCTTTTACCTGACGCTCATGATGTTGCCTTCAGGATGTTTCTGCAAGTACGCCTTCACCACCCAGGCCGTGTGCTCTCGGTAGGTCATGACGCGGCTGAGGAACAAGTAGAGAAACATTTTGAAGGGGAAGAAGAGGAAACAGGAGGATCCCAGCGAGCTGGGGAGGGATGGACAGTTACCATTCACTCAGAGCCATCCTCCTGTCAAACACGCGGATGGAGCCATCGCCCAGCCCTGCCACAATTAACGAACGATGAGAATCACACGAGAGGCTGGTCACGCAGCTGTCCGCTCCGGTGGGGATGTCCTAGGGAGAAAGAACATGAAAACCAAGCTCAGACCATGATGTGTCTTTAAGCCTAGAGCCCTGAAGAGAAGGCACTAGAGAATCAGTCCAAAACTAAACCAGAGTTTCCACTTGTCACCACCACTGTGATGCTGCCTCGGTGTGAGGTTTTCCTTCTGGCTCTCTGGACACAGCTGGAAACAAGAGGATGGTGACCCCGGGGACGATGGACACTGCTGCTGCTGCTGCCTGTTTGAGCCACAGATCAACACAAAGGACCAGACCCAGAGGAGAAATTCCAGCAAAACCAGCTTTTGCAAATCACTCAGCTTTATAAACCAAGGCAAGGCCTGTCTCAGGGAGGAGGAGTTAACACCATTCACTGCTAAGAATATCTCATTAGTTAAAACAAACGTCCGGAGGAGTGAGCTGTCCATAAAGCATCTTTGTTGTGTCCAAGTTGTGAATGCCACTGGAACAGTAGGAGGGACAGGGGGCATTTGGAAGAGAAGAGTCATATCAGACAAAAATACCCGTAGAAGGCAAAAACTCATAACAGCATCAATAAAACCACCTACAGAACCAGATGTACAGTGTGCTATAGGTAATGCCACTGTCCATGCCAAAAAAGGTACAAGGCTGCAAGGTATTAGCCCTTTTTGCACCTCAAATTAACATCCAAGTAAGTTCCAAGGAGTTATTTAAATGCTTCTTGTAAAATAAGGTGGTTGGTTTGTTTGTTTGTTTGTTTTTTCCTGTGTCAGATGAAAACCACACTGGGCCCCTGGAGACAATAAAGTGATTTTAGCAGAAGGCAGCTCCCTCTACCCAGAACGGCTCCAGTTCTGAACTCCATTCCTTTCCATTTCCTTTTATTTTTTTATTTTATTTTTTAAACACTCTGCTCTCTTCCTCCTGTCATCACTCGGATCATCGCTGCCCCTCTGCAGAGCCCACTGGCTGCTGCAAACGGGCCAAGCTAAGCAGATGATGGTTGGACTGTCTGAGTGTGACCTTCCTCCTCTCCCCGCCCGGCAGCAGGCGATGCTTCGGCAGCTCCGGTGCTCTCCAGCGACGTCAGACTCAGACAACACAACCAGCTGCCCGACTACAACACAGCACCAGAGAGTCACTCGTGTGCCACCTATCAGTCCCCGCTCTGGGACATGTGACAAGTAGATCCAGGTTATCTCATTAGAAGCCAGACACTGTGCACATTAAAAAAAGAGATGGAAAAAGGAGGTTGGAGGTTGGAGCTCGCAAGGACAGCCGTGCTGGGAACACGGTGGGCACTGGAACGCTGCTCCTTTCCCACTTTTTACTCACTAGCAGCAAAAGAATTGCCTGGAAAACATCTACACCTGTGATGAGGGAAAACATTTTTCAACTAAAACAGGTAAAAAATGCTCAGCAGCACTGGAAAAAAAGTGGGCTAACAATCAGGAGGCAGGTTAGAAATGCATTAGGCAATTTCACACTTCAATCCTATTTTTGCTTCTGTGCACATTCACCTTTCCCAGCTGCTGTTCACAGCCTCAGCTGAGCGAGGAAGCTGCTGGCTCCAGGTTGTTCTCAGCAGCTCTTCCCACTGCCTAAACCCAGAGCCTGTCTTTGAAGCAGGAACAACCAGCAGAAGTGAAAATGAAGTACTTGTTTCTTCAGCTACATCCCAAGTGCTTCCAGAGACACACTTTGGGTAGTTCAAAGAGTGGGAAGGCACCTTTGTTACCCTGGATTGCACAGCTCCGCTGCTCGTTGTGCTGAATTTCACTTTTCCAGCATTAATGAGTCAGGAAGTTTCTTGAATTTCAACACAACTAATCTTTGCAATTAAAAAAGAAACAACACGTTTTCAGCCACTTTCAGCGCAATCATTAATCACCATCATTTAAAAGATTTTCAGTTCCTGAATTTTACTGCTCCCTAATTTACATAGAAAAGAATAATATGTGAAAGTAATTAAGATTAACATAGGCTTAATTATCATGCATTGCAGGGTCAAAGTGTTGTAATTAACGTTCATCCAAGGGTAATTAATTTCTAGAAGCTTTGAAAACGAGTCTTCCTTTTTCCTCCAGCACGGTGACTCCCTCCTCACAGACCAGCTGCTTCTCTTTATAATTCCTGAGAAACTTTTATTTGATTACAACTACCACCAATGCCTGCAGCAGCTTTCTTGCATTGTCTGGCTGAAACGCCGCTCTCCTGCTGCCTGATTTCAGAGGTGAGGTGTGAACACCCCGGGGTGCCCCAGCATGGGGGTGTACAGAGCTCCCCGGGAGCCACAGGGACGCCGAGGGAGCTGCTCACAGGCACCTTCACGCTTTGATACCCGGGAAAACATGGAGCAAACTTCCCCTGGCTGATGTCACCAGTGCCCAGGTAGGAAACACTCGTGTTTCCGTCCTGCCCAGCACTTGGGTCCCGATCCAGGAGTGACTGGACCAGGTGGATGCAGCTTTCCCGAGAGCAAACCTTTGGCAGGTAGGTAGGAGAGCACTGCTGCTCTGTAAATAGCTCTGTCTGCGTCCCAGAGAAGCAGAGATGGCAGCAGTGAGTCCAAATGCTCTACACCACTGACCCAACTCACCACTAAATTTTTACAAGATTTCCATTAGGTGCTAATAGGAAACCCCACTGCCATCCTGGTGCCTCTGGATTTCAGAGCCTCACCTTTCCCAAACGCTGCTGCACACCCCCCAGAGCACCAGCAGCAGCTTCCAGGAAAGACCTGAACTGATCTCATGACATGACTCTGAGGCAGAAGCTCCAGGAGCTGCCAGCTCTCCACAGGGCAGCTTCAGGTGCCCTGCCTGTGCACAGGGCAGCTCACTGCACGGGACATCTCCTGGGAAGGAAAAGGTGAGCAGGACAAACACGCAGGTGTTACCTGTACTTTCATTTCCCGATCTGTGTCCCAGATCCGGATTATCCTCACATCCCCCGATGTCATCAGGAGCC